GGAACAGTCTAGAAGAGAAACTGCGCCGCCAGGAATTCAATTCAAGTAAAAATATGCAAGTTCCTCATCTATGAAAAGTACAAGTGTTTAAAGATGAGTTTATTTGAATGACTGTACTTTTGGGTGGTTTAAGTTGCAGTACTGCATCATATTTTGTCACTGTTGTGTCAAAAAATAAAGCTTTTTTCAGCTTTTTTGCCTTTATGCATACATACATTATGGAGCCAGAGTAAAGCAGGGTTAGTCTCTGCTCTCCCTTGGTGGTTTGGTTTGAGGGACTGTATTTACTCTCTCAGTAATCAGTGCACTTAGATGGATGTGCTCCTCAGATAAGTGTTTCCCTTGATGAGGTCTTTACCACAACCCATGGTGGGGGCGGTTGTCCCAGCCCACAACTCCTAAATCAAGTGTCCTTCTCTGCTGTTGTAAATGAGAAGTCGGTTAGGGTGTAATTGGGTTTGCATATTCTGTGGGATAAGTCCATGGACTGTTTTCCAGATATAGAGCGAAAACTATAATGACATTCCAAAGAGACTAGCTTGCAAGTAAACACTGGGATTAATGTTTTTGTCAAAGGGCATTTAAAATACTTTTCTGTCTTTCTGATATCATACTGAAAATACAGACACTTACATAATTGGCTATCTGACATATTACATTGCAGAGTTGCACCTTAGTACTTGCTGCTGCTTGCTTAAAATGTAAAAATGAAGAAAAACTAATTAGTTAGGTAGCAGTACTTGCTATTTTCTTGTACAGTGTACAAAATGGCAATAAACAGCATAAAACATGATGTTATTTCCAAGTGAGAAGAATTAAGCCAATGCGAACATCCCTCAAATCTTTACTCTATCTGAAGGCCACCATTTGGCAATACAAATGTACTCTTTCCTATTGAGTTTATGGGATTTGTCATGCTTGTGGGTCATATTGACTACAAAATTGTCTGTTTTAGAAGTCTTGGTCATACTGTGTTTCATTGGCTCAATGAATAATTATTTTTCGATCACAAGTCTTTACGCAGTGAGCTTGCGGTTTTGCAGTCAGACGCGCTGCTTCCTCAAGTCTAGTTTTATGGAGCAGAGATGGTGAAAATGCTAATATCAAGGCTTCAAAATGGGATTTAAGAAATCAGTGGATGACTTCATGGTATCTGCTTCCATCTTTTATATGGCTAATGTGTGTAGCTCATAGACAGTGTAGTGTATAATGACACACTCTTGGGACCTGGAGGAAAACTGCAGCATTTTAGTAATTTTTTTAAATGAAGGTTCTGGTTGTTGCCATCAACGAGTTATCTCTTGCCAGCATAGAGACAGAGATAAACAGTAGGCCTTTATACACAAGTGTGTATTTTGGCTTTATGCATTTATTTTTTACGCAAGTAGATGATGATCAAAGCCATTTTAAACAGAGTTTTGCAGCTGTACAAACTAAACCAACACGGATCTCTGTCAGCTCCAGTCTTGTTGAAGGAGACAAAAATAAGCAGGCCAGCTTTTTTTCTGCTCTTTCTTTTTAATTTATATTTTCCAGCCGGTTTTTCCCAACATAAAGAGGGTTCACAGCCGTACTCGTCTGATCTTGCAGCAAGACTTTCCACAACTCATTTACATGTTTTCTTTCACCTCACACATACATATACACTAAAAAGAAACTTCCCCCTCATATTACCTGAAACTCATTTCTCCTCCTGCTCATCTCATCTCTTCTGATTGTTCCTCTTCCTTCATCTGCATTCTCTCCACATCAGAGTCGAGATCCGTTTTTTCTGTCCGGGATGCTTGAGTAACAGTAGTTTTGCAAACTGCTAATGCATCTGGTGATGCTATCAAAACACAGCACTGTGGGTTGGGGGTTTTTTTTGGCTCTTTGTTCTGGCAGAGGGTGTTCACATCAACATCGTCTCATATCTTAGTGTTTAATCTTTTCATTTGGTCTATACACATCAGCTTTCAGAGGAGAGCAGACCCCGTCATTTCTCCATCTCTGCAAGAAAACACAATATTAGAGATTTACTACATCCCTTGTTACCAACTCTTAGGAATGACGTTGAGTCAAGATGCTGCTAATTGGATGTATGCTTATGTGAAAAGGAGGCCCTTGCTGCTTTTGTGCAAAGAGATAAAGAGCTAGGGCAGAAAAGTCGGGAGGCCACAGTTCATAGAGAGCTAACATGTAGGATTTCATGGTGGGCGTGCTATGTTAGGAATTCCAACTCATGTTGTAACTAGAACTCCTGAAAGGCTCTGTTCTTTCCTGGTGGCTGGGACATCTCAGACCCCGCTTTGGCACTGAGCCCAGCCCCTCTGTCTAATTATCAATCTGCCTTTTTGTGTCTTTGGACTCTTGTTTTTATGTATGTCTTCAGCAACATCAGCTCTACAAAAGGCCTGGAACTGCAGTAAAATGAACACAGCAGCGTTAGGCATGACTGTATTTATTCTCTATGCACAAGTGTTCAAACACTCTTACTGATTTCCTCACATGAAGTGAGAATTTCTAATTTATCCACTGAATTCACTGAAGTTTCCTAGAAGTTACCCAAATTGACCCGCATAAGTCTGTAAAGGTTAAATTGGATCATTAACGAACTTAAGTTTTACACACGAGTCATTACAGGATCGTGTCACTTTAAAAATCTAAATCCAAGTCATTTTCTCTTGATGACTTTTGTGGACTGGAAAATCAATATATCAGAAAGAAAGACAGAAATAACATTTAATCATTGATCCATAGGAGACTGAGGGGTAGCAGTGGCCAGACTCCAGCGAACCACGATAAAAGCCATTATCCACAAATGGAGAAACCTTGTAACAGTGGTGAACAGTGGCCTACCAAAAAGTTAAAGAATTTTGAGGGCAAGTCCAAATGCTTTTTCTCATGTAGACCTTTGTCGAACCATCTTATAGATAATCTTTTTGCATACATAGATGTCACCCCCTGAGCCCCCCCCTAAAAAAAATGCAGGTTTAAGACACTTCCTTGGGTTCAGTTTTTAGACCTGGGGATGTTCCTGGCAACTAATTTCTTAGTCGACTGCATGAGGAAAAAAAAATGAGGCTAACCAGCTCGTGTAAAACTAAGAAACACTCAGACACTGAGTTACATTTGTGAACCTTGAATAGGACAATGTCAAAAACTCAGACAAAGGCATTCGAAACCATTAATCACAATTAAAATGTTAACAGTTACACTAAACGACTGGTACCAAATAGTGATAACAACGATTAATTGTGTTGTCGCACACATCCCTAATCTATACCGTGTTCATCAACAATGCGGTCATTTTTTAAAGCGATGAAACCTGTTATCCACCCGCCTGCAGTCTGCTATTTGGCTCAAGCACTAATAAAAATGGTTGCAGCAAAGGTGGATGTCACAGTTTGCAATGATCAACATGTCAGCTGTAATCATAGCTGTAGAAACAGTGGACTGTTGAGTTGATGCTGGCAGTGTTTCTACAAGTGCAACAAGTTTTCCACACTTCTGCACACCTCTACAGACACACACACACAGTCACATGTGATTTTCCACACCTGTGTGGGAAAACACAATGAAAGGAATTGACTCAGATGAATGGTGCTGATTTAGAGGGCCTGGTAATCTGGTTCCTGTGTGGGTCCTTGGTAGACAGTGGAGCCTTTACTTTGCCAGTCTCTGCTGTAGGATGAGAAACAATAGAGCTATGTGAGGAGCATTTTCATTTCTTTTTAGATGCTGAAGATGGATTATATTTGCTATCGGAGTGTAGTTTGGTATTAGTTAAAATGTGGCATTAAGGGTGGAGTGAAGCATTGGGATGATGTAAGATGTGAGTTGGATAGTTAAAGAAAAGAGAAATATGCACGTACAAGATTTAGTTCTGTCACACTGAAAGGTCTGACTTTGATATTTTATCAAACTTTTTAAAGGTTCCTGAATAAAATGTATTTATTTCATAACCGCTAAACCTGTTTGTTGGCAACTACTCTTCAATTTGAGTTCACCTCAGTTGTTGTGAGTCAGGATGATTGCAAGACAAAAGATCATTGCAGTGTAGTCTGTCTTGGAGTGCTGAATGAATGAGTGAGACATGGAATAAGAAGCACTGTCTCTTCCGAGGAGAGTGGGGAACAAAACAACAACAACCTGTAGTCAGTTAGGAAGACTGAACTGATATATTTGCACCAAGTATATCTTTTATCCGTGCATGCTCGAGTTTTTTAAGCTGTCACTCTCAATTTTAAAGAGCTGTGATAAGATGCCGATGTAAATGAGGGTAAATCATACATTTCTGCAAGGTTGAATCATTTGGTTGCTGTGAGGGTGTCAGACTCGCTGTGAGATGGGGAAGGGTGAGGCAACGGGAGGCGAGGAAAGCTCTCCATCCTGTCAGGGATGTCACGTTGTTTGATAAAGGGAGTGACGACAGAGAGAAGTGCAGAGGAAAGAGAAACATTTTGAAGGCACACACAGGTTTGAGGGATTGGCAGAGCGCTCTGAATAAAAACAAATAGAATCAAATATGTCGGCAATGACCTGTTTTTGACCCTCTTGTCATTTTGTCCATGTCTGTCTTTTTCCAGAGCTGCTGGGCTCTACCAAGAGGCTCAACATCAACTACCAAGACTCAGATGGGTAAGAGGTGTGCATGTGTGTACGTGTTTATGTGCGTCTCAGCGAGAGATGAACACGAAGCTGAGTCAGTGGAATGCAATGGAAGAGTCATTGTTTCTTGATTGATGTGCAGATTGTGTTCAGTCTTCACAGAATGACTCACAGTAGAATCACACGCATGTGCTGACAGAGTGTCCTTCAGTTTTTACCTCACTCTTTGTTTTCCGATAATGTCTGTTAGAGCTTGGAGTAAAATGATTCTTTATATTCACTTAGATTCATTCTGACTTCTTTCAGAGGTTTATAGAAGATGTTACCTTTATTCCTGCAGTTTAAGGCTACAGACACTCTACGGAAAACAGTGACTGGAGACCACCGAGCAACATTATTGCAACCATATCCAGTCGAAGTGGTTGCATCAGGTCTGAGACCGCTCCTATTCAGTTGCTGCCTTCAAAGTGACTTTGGTGCATCATGATGGCGATGAATCAGAAATAAAACTGTGTTAAGATGGAGTATCAGCTTATGAATGAATAGGGTTAAGTTGGCACTTATATGCAATATGTTTATAATAGTACCATAATTAAATGTGAAAAACCTCAAATCTGTTGCTCACTGTTTCTGTTTGCATCACAGCTGCAGTGCGGTACAGAGCCAGGGGCAGGCTTGCCACTGTCAGCATACTGACAAACTAAAAATGAAAACAATAAGAAGAGGCTGAGGAAAACTGAATATGTTTATGATATAAGGATGAACTCTGAAAATGCCGGGGACTGTGTTGCTCTGAGAACTGAGACTGAGGTGGAGCACGAGTTGCTTTATTACTATTCCTCCATATTAACATGAAATCTATGTGTCATTGGTGACATGTATGAGATGCTGATTGACACAAAACATTTATTTATTTATTATTTATTTATTTTCATTTTCATGTTTTTTTGGAGGGGAGGTCTCATGCATATATTCACAAATTAGAGAAAAAAGCTGGAGGTAGAATAGAGTAGATAGAATAGAATAATCCTTTAATTGTCCCACAAATTTGGTTGTATCAGCAGCAAAAAAACACGCATATACAAAAAGAACAGGACACAGAACAGAAAACACAATTTTTACATGTTAACATCATGGACAATAGCTACAGAGCAGAGTACAATACAGTTGTTAAATTTAGCGTACAGATAGTGTGCAAACAGAGCAGGATACTGAAAGAAGAGTGACATGTTATAGAGGGACATATAGAGTACATAGGGTGACATGTTATAGAGGGACATATAGAGTACATAGAGTGACATGTTATAGAGGGACATATAGAGTACATAGAGTGACATGTTATAGAGGGACATA